ACAGCCCGGCACATGTGCAGTTTAGGGACTATGGCTGTTTGAAAGGTTTTTTTTTTTAATAAAATTAATCGATTCTAACCTATTTTGACTCAACATTCCCAAAACTCGTATAATTTTTTGGGAATAATCCGTATAAACTATGCTATAAACAAAAAATTGTAGGATTACTTACTGAGTGTGCACCGTTCGACGATGTCATTGATTAAGCTTGTTTTCGTCGCGGAGCGGCGCATCGAATGGCGGGCGCATTTCCTGATAAGTTATTCTGCGAAAAATTTGCTGAACTTTGGAAACATCATTAATATAAATATAATTTTTATGGCCGTTAAATAATAAATAGTTTTTAGTAGGTCCGCTGCTCGTTTAAACTCAGCAGTTTGTGCAATATCCACTATTGGTCTAGATTCGACCAATCTTGTCGCGACACAAGTCGGCGATGACGTTTTACCGTATTATACGAGTCTCTTTTAGCGTGTTTATACGAATACGATCGCAATTTTTTGCCGTTTTATACGAATCCGTATTATATAAACCCGTGTTACAGGGGGTCTACTGTACCAACATACTACTATCATATGTCTTACATGTGACATTAATTACTTTGTTCTTTTCTTTTATAATATTTATTCGTATTTTGTGAATTTACTACTGCCCTTGAGAAAATCAAAATGAAAATATTATTCATTTAATTAGTTCTAATTTGTTTTCTTCAGATTTTAATAAATCGAATTCTACGATGTTTTGTACCTACGATGTTTGATACTGTATATATAATTATATATTAACTTAATTTATTGTAACTTTATTATAATTATATATATACTTTCCACCGTCTAGCGCTACACTACAGAGAGTTTAGGCGAGCTATCGTCTGTACAGTATGTAAATTAGGTACCGTAAGTCTAATACAGTACTGTAATTTTATACATTTCTTGTGAAAGAAACATTTCTTATTCAACGGCGATTAAAATTATTTATATTAATGATGTCTCCAAAGTTCAGCGAAGTTTTCACAGAAAAATAACATCAGAAATCGTGGCCGCGGTTTGCTGAGCTGTTCCGCGACGAAAACAAGCTTGAGCAATGGCGATGTCGAATGGTGCACACTCGGTAAGTAATCCTACAATTTTTTGTTTATAGCGTAGTTTATACGGATTATTTCCAAAAATATATATATATATATATATACGTATTTTGGAAATGTTGAGTCAGATTAGTCTAGAATCGATTAATTTTTTGGAAGAAAACCTTTCAAACAGCCATAGTCCGTAAACTTCACACGTGTCAGGCTGTGATTGGCTGTGATTCCTACAAAATTGATTCATAAAGAACGGAACGTATCTACCGTCTTATAGGGAGATCGACTGTATTTATATCTTAGTTTTCTAGGAATATATATTTTATGTTGCGTACAGGTGGTTATTTCGTGATACCTTGGGTAATTTCGTGAGAGGGTCCTTTAGCCTATATATTTAGCCGCAATTTGAAAAAATTGTAGACCTATTTAGCCCACTGTCGTTTGTCTGTATGTCAGGCTGTCTGACTGTCCTTTCTTAATCTCGAAAGCAGAGTTGAATAGATAAAACAAGACACCAGGCATGGAAAACCTAGGGACAGAAAGCCCCATTTACAGGGCTGTGGAGTCGGTGTGGAGTCGGAGTCGTGGAGTTTTGATGTTTTAGCTGGAGTCGGAGTCGGAGTCGTGGAGTTTTGGTGTTTTAGCAGGAGTCGGAGTCGGAGTCGGATGATAAGGAAAAGTCGGAGTCGGAGTCGGTAGATTTTTACGCGACTCCACAGCCCTGCCCATTTAACTATATAATAACTTCTGATGCAAACCGAAAATCACGTTATTTCATTAAGAAATTTTTCTCCTGAAAGAAGTTAGACAGACTTCTCAATTGATAACAGGAAAAGTATAATGTACAGGAGCAAGCCACTACTAATTTGAGGTGGGAACATGTATTTTAAATTAAATAAATTAAAATTATGATTAAAAGTTTCAGTCCGGCATTGTAACCATGTCACAATAAATAATTGCTCTATATATTGAACACTTTCAATCCTCGCGACTTTAAAAAAATTTATATTTTTAACGTGGAAGATATTTTGATGGCATTTCGAGTAATAATTTTGTGATGCATTGGTTATTTTATCGTTCCTCATTTTGGGCCTAGCAGATACTCAACATATATTCAACTAACATTATCTGTAAGTTATACATATAATTATTTTATTTCTCTAATCGACGATAATTAATTATTAAATAGTCCTTGTGTTTGATATTTTTAGAATTTCACAGCGAAAGCTAAAGAATGTTGTCCAAATAGACAAGGAAATTTAAACACACAGTACAATAAAAAAAAAATAATAATAACTGCGTGTTTAAATATATCTTCAGTTCTTAGTTTATTGAAATGTCAGAGAATAATTCACTTACCATCAATATTTTGTTTGTAAATTTAAGATAAACTCGTCTGTTTGGAGACGAATTTTATCCTAATTTTCAAGTTTTCTTTTTCTTACAATAAATATCGTTTTGCTAACAGTTAAAAAATGACAGTTTACTCAAACGAACAAAATTTTCAAATTTAATATATTCCACTCTATCTGCAAGCGAAATTTCAAATTTCATCTTACATTACTTATTTTATTAAGATGAATTTAAAAGTATCACGAAATTACCAATGTTTACTCTATATACTATATAATGTAAATAATGTATGGGCCTTGACTTCATTTTTTACAAATAAATTTACGGAAAAGCATTAAACCTTGTTTATTTACAAAATTTTAATGAATTTTGTTTCTTTCTTTCGATAATCCCATTCTGAAATAATGCTTGTCCTGCTAGTAATAGTTATATAAAATTTCTTTAAGAACAACTACACAGTTAATGAAATACCGTAACAGATAGCGCTATCAAAATTTTAAATGTTGGCGGGGAAGTTGAGCAACTCGTTGCTGGTTTATTTGCATTGCAAAACAGTACTAGGTGACTACAAAGGAATTTCTTTACCTTTTGTTGGCAAATGCACAATAATGAACCACCTTTTCTGTTTTGATACGTAATGGTCTACCAGAGATGAACTCTACCTAGTATGTTATACAGTACAACAAAATCAGTCCCTAGTTCATCTTATTTCCTGGATTGCTATAAGAGTCAGTTTATACAGTGGGTGATCGGTTAATGAACATAATCCGTTCCAAAACTTTGTTCGTTAACCAATTATCGATTTACCATAGGTTTTTATGGGAATTTGATTAATTCGTTCTGGATACCCCCAAAAATAAAAAATATATACTTTCTTACTACGTTTATTTATATGTAATAATACAAATACATTTATACACAGTCTTGCATTTTTATTAGTCATGTTTTTTCCGTTAAACAATCTATCTGTCGATTGCGTTTCTCTCTTTTTCATAAGTAATTAATAGCATTGTAATTGTAGAGATACCTAATCCTATTAACCTCAACCTGATTTGGACGCCATTTTAAGACCGCTGTTCTGACATCCTCCCACTTCTACAAAAGATCTTTAATAACAGATATCGGCATTAATCCTCTTTTTCAGAAGAAAACATATCTCGCTGAGTTTCTTGGTGTTCTTCATTCAAGAGTTCTTGGCGTTCTGTCATCAGATCAGTTTCCATTATGAGCTCTTCAATGTTCTTTAAACAAAAATCACATCTGAGAAATAAACTGCTCGAGTCTTCTTGATTATACTGTATAATATAACTAAGCCCAGCAACATCAGACATCTGCCCACTCACTCTCTAGTGGGCAGATGTCCTTTGCCATTATACTTTCGAAAATAAAAACAGACGCAAAACTTAACGACTGCCTGCCTGACAGTCTCGCGAATACTATAAAAGAATTGTTTGTCAGAAAAATAAAAGGCTAGAATTACAAGGGAGAGTTTCAAAGTTCGGAGGAATATTATCCGATCAGTATATACCGGGTTGAGCGTCGATGTCTCCCGCGCTCCGAAAAGTTTCGAATTGTTGCCTGAAGATGAGACCAATAGGTATTCATTCTTTTACGCCGCCACTTCTCGTTCTGCGAGGTGTTCGTTAACCAATTATCCACTCTTCTAGAGTATTTCGAAATTCTTTAGACTTTTAGTTTGGTACCTGGAACCTTTGGGGCCTACAAACTGTAGCTCAGTCCATTATTTCATAGTCTAAGTATATCTATAATCAATTCTCTTAATCATTGGCCAAGGTTTTATAACAAGAGTTGAGTATAGAGCTAATTATCTTGCAAAAAACTAACAATCCTAAGATATAGGACTACGGTATCTCACTTGGATTCTTTGATCTGTTTAACCTGGGTGATCATACCACTAGCTAAGCTACCACTGTAATAGTTAGTCAATCTGATAGTATAATATAGTAATAAATAACGTACTTAAATCAATACATATCAATATTATCGACGATGTTTGCTATTCACTTCATGTATTTGATTACATCTGCAAAGTTTATTTCAGCATGTACAACTATATAATGCAAGGGGACAAAGTTTCAAACACCCCTGATAAAGTCCGAGTTTAAAATCTTAAGTAAAACAGTATGAATTCTGTTTATTCAACTGCATTATTATATTTAAAAGATGATGATGATGATGATGGCATCATCTATTCTATATGTCAATATATTTAAAGAATATTTTTAAAAAACAAATAAGAGATATTTGTGTTAAAATAGAACCATGCATTATTAGGTAAACAGACATTAAATGCAAAAGCATATCTTTGTATTGTATTTTGCTTGCATCACCACAAAGAACAAACTTCATCACTAATGTTTTGGCTCCTTTAATTGGTGGCAAAGCCATCTGGATTCTGCTCCAATGCAGACATCCATATACTGTATTTATCTATTAAAAAATTGTGAAGTCTTAGGATATACTTGAATAATAGATTAAATTACAAAGAGAGAAAATATTTGTTTATTGTGTGGAATGAAAATTTTTTTTTTATAAAAAATTACAACAAAAATTTGTAAATTAATAAGTTTATTGCACCCCTCCTTCTTTGCACTATTACTAGATATATCTTGAATATTGCATTTACATTGTTGTTATACAATATATTGCTAATATTAGGACATAAAAATTATTTTGGTAACAAAGCACAGCATATCTCATGGTGCCACATTAGCTTATTAATATATATATTTATAAATATAACCCTTGTAGCTTTATTAATATTAAAATATGAATTTTTATATTTGGAAGAAAATGGAAGATATGATATACAAAAAATTCTGCATTTTGATAATGTAAAATCACATTTGGCACAACTCTCACATAACTATGTAATTATAAATTACAAGGTATGTGTGTCAAAAATGAGCCTCAAAGCAAATTTAAGCTGATTTTGTATAAAACTATTTTGACAATATTCTCATAGTCTACCATTAAATAATAATGGTAGCTACTTATGCTATATTTATCTCAATGAATATCATTTATATTGCATAGTAATTTTTGTACTAGCATTTTTTGAAGTTATAATTCAATATTAGTATATTATAAGTCTAGCTATTATTGCATTATTATTTAACAGATTCAAAAAGTACTAGAATTGCTTGAATTTCTTCTTGGTCTTGGACTAAAAAAAAGTAAATAAATTATTAATAAAATTCAGATTGCTTTAATAAGTTTTATATAAAATGTATTTACCTTGGTGGAGGTGTACTTGGAGAACCTTTTGTTGGAAGACTGGATCGACTTGAAGAAACTGTCCTACTTCTTCGTGTTCTCAGAGATGAATACTGAAAATTATTTGAATGAATAACAAATTTATATTTTGAGGAAATTAGGAATTGTCTTTATATGAAGTTCAAGAAAGTTACCATTTATCCAATTACATATAGGCTCATTTCCTTCTTGAACACTGGTTTTATTCAATGTACTGTACATTATATACAAGGTATATAATCATTTATGGCTTTTAATTGTGTACTGAAATGAGGACTGAATAAAACCTGTGCTCAAAATGCCTTTGTTCATTGATGGTGTAATAAGTCTAGTGAAAAAGAAAAGCCGTCTTAGCGTTTGAAGTCAATTCTTATTTATCAAATTAATTAAACTGAGACTGAATTTCATATAAATATGTACCATTATGCAGAATAAATGTATATCGTAATCTAATCATTTCACTAATATGATTAGCAATCTTTTATTATTATTTATTACACAAGTTTGCCTGAACCTGATTTATTTCTCATTTCAACTTAGTTTGTATAAGATAGAAATCCCTGAAATATTACAGAGGTTGCAGCCAACATTTTCACCACGAAAACATGAATGTCGGACATTCAGTGCCGCCATCCTGTAAGCCTAGAAGTTTGACAATGGCATTTGGAACATCAAACATGATTCCACTGACGTTCCAAATGCCACCATCAAACTTCTAAGCATACAGGATGGCGGTGCTGAATGTCCAATTCACGTTTTTGCAATGAAAACATGAAAATATTAGCACAGAATTTTACACCAAGGTCAAAAGCTTAAAATTCTCTGCAAACATCTTAAAATCCACTTTATTTTCAAGATCTGGCTTACCAGTAAAAAGTACAGTACTTTTCAAATTTTGCACCAAAGTACTAATACAGTACTAAAAATGCCACTTACTGTACTGTATATAAGCTTTGCCTAAGTAGGCCCTACTGTAATAAATGTAAGCAATCTTGACAGAAGCATAAAAATTAAAAAGTTGTAAAGCAAGTCTTTCGAATGTGAGATGGAATTTGGAATTTTTACCGATTATTTTACCGACTATTTGTCGATTAATTGTCTTGTATTTGCTTAAAATCTAATTAAATTTTCCTTTAACTTAAAGTGAAACCTAATGGAAAAAAAACTTTTTGTTTATGTTTGACATAAACATCCGTTCAATTCGAAACTAATCCCGCATTCCAACTCCAAAGTTGATAGTTAGCATGGTCCCGGGAACAACTCTGACCCATCTGTGTACCTTTTACCTCACAACAATCAACCACGTGACCATTCTCCCACGCCGATCTTATAAAAACCCCTTCCTTCCCCTTCTCAGGGAGTTGTTCCAGAGCAGGTGCCAGGAGCCGATAACTTTAAACATAGTGTCCTTTTTAATCAGTGAACTTTCCTAAATCATTGATTCAAATATTTAACCAGTGAACTCTCCTAATCAGTGAACTTTCCTAACCAGTGAATTTTCCTAATTCAAAGAGTGGATAAGTTTCCTCAGTGGATAACAGATCAAGAGGTATGGAAGCAATTATTGTAAGCTCTCTCTCGGTCTCTCCGCGTTTTAGGGACACGAACTAGACGATGTACTACCCGAACTTGCATTAATAAATTGTTAATTTTCCTTATGTTACATCTGGCCTCCTCATTTACTCGTATATTGCCTGTCGTCTCACCGACGCACTCCTCCCTCCGCCACTCGACCCAAAACATTAGAGCCCGTTACTGAGGGAAAAAGACTCTTTCCACCCATCCTGACAGTGAAAGGGTTTAACAACCTTCCCGCTTCACCATAATATATCAATTACACGATATTTTTCCCTCACATCTCATGTCAATGACCATGCAATGTGCAGCAAAAGTTTTTTAAATTGAAAGAGAGGTTTATCTCTTTACATATCTGATTTATCACAAAATGAAACAAATTATATCACTTAAACAATATGATTTAAAAAAAAATTTTAAGAACAAACAAATGATACTCATTGATAGTGTTTTTCCAAATGTTAATGAAAGAAAGTTACACACCAAGAAGACATTGGTATCATCCTTATGTTCATTGGAATGGAATGAAATGAAATTTTATTACTTTGTTCTACAGGAAATTCTCTTTGCCATTTTGTAGGACTTCCTCTTGTCTGAAGGCATACAGACATTGTGACATCACATTGGACATGCCAAGGAAGTGTGACAAAGACCTTTCTGAGAAACAGTATCTATGTGGAGGCAAGCATTATCTTGTTAGATAATAGCTGTTTTCAGCTGTGTCATGAAAGGCAATGCAAAATAATACAGGGTTTCCTGATTGTACCACTTATTAATGTTGATGTGAGATCCTGGGCTGTTTTATAATTAGTTATAAAATTTATTTTTAATAAAAGAGACAAGGAAATAACCAATCCGAATTTTTCTTCACTACTTCTTGGGTTGAGTAACCATCTCAGGAAAGAGTTTTGTTAGAACATGTCCAAAACTGGCAATATCGGATGGAGAGATTATTGACAAGATTCTGACAAAGATAGTCTACTTATGGAATCAGAAAGGAAGTGTTAACAGGAACTAGACCACCTTGTATGATCTTTTGGAGGCCCTTTTAGTCATCCAACTCCTGTGAAGCAGTTCAATCTCAATGAGTTGTCCAAGTAAATCTCCTCAAATTCAAGCCTGTCATCTGATCTAATTGTCATTGTTCAATTGACCAGTCAGTGCCTCTACCAATTGACTTTTCATAGTTCACTCACCATTTGAACTAAGGCTTAATCTTCTAATGCTGGTATATCAACAAGGTAAATATCTACTTGCGGCAAATTGTGAACACTCTCTCATGACTAGAACCTAGATTGTAAGATAATCTTAAGATAGAAATGGGATCAGGTCTATAACAATAATAATTCAAATAAACTCATATGATTGATTGTTTTGTTTTACTTAATTCTTTGCAATGTTGTTAGTATATGATAATTTTACAACTATATAACTTTTTTTTTGTTGTTTTTGAACACTATATATATATATTTCATACACACAACACAAGGCAATTGCTTTGTGTTGTGTGTATGAAATTATAGTGTTCAAAAATGACAAAAATAATCACCGACACGATTTCAAGAAAGTAAAACTATATAACTAAACATATATATTTTCCATTGAATAAATTTAAATTTTTGTTGTTGAGTACATTTCATTCCAGACCTCCCTGTCTCACTTATCTTCCCTCCTCCATCTTCCCACATTCAGTCCCATATGGACAGCTCAAGTGTGTTCAGAAATGTGTGGGAAGAATTTTGAGGTTTCTGTGTTCCAAAAGAAAATACAGTGGTGTCAGAAGCTAATGGGGGGGTGCTTCTCAGATTTCACATTCATATGAGATGGCTTGCCAGACTGGTATGCCAACAATGGGGCAATATATTGCTTACCTGTGGTTGTCATTTTTGATGGACTGCTATAGACTGCTATAGACTGGCAGTGCGCAATGTCAGAGTGCTAAAGGCATCACATGTAGTATGTCTTATCTTTAGCATGCCATGTAGTGGCATCATGCATGCAAAATTGGATGAGAATTGAGAGGGTTCTGTAGCAAAGCTTCTGCCTGTCTATGGATAGTGGACAAAGATGTAGCTATTTGTGCTTCTCGTGATCAGAGAACCATTTCTCTTGGTAGTCTTTCTAGGGCATCCAATGCCTGCCTACTGTATGTAAGACCCTGATGTATCCACTGTCCTTAATAGCACAACCCAAATGGCAAGCAATTCAACAAAAAGCCATGTGCTTCCTTCAGCTGTGTTTAAATGTTAGTCAAACATTATTCAGACAGTTGTTTATAGTAATTGTAATAAAAAATGTCTTTGACTGCCCATACAGGCGAGCCTGTGTGGCACAGTCAAAGATATTCTTTCTATGAGACAAAAACATCCTAATATAACAAGTACACCGAGTCATTGTGAGCCTTTTTATAAGTTATTAGGGTAGTGATTTTAAGGCACTCTGATGACATTCGTGGTATGCAATCAAACCACAACTTTAAATTATTTACATACTGTCTGAGATATATTATACACTCATACTTAGATATTTAGTATATATTTAAAAATTCAAACTTACAGGTGAACTTCCTCTTGAAAAATTCATATTTGCATAAATCATTAATGCAACATCTCTATGACCAGCATCCATAGCTATTGATAATGCACTACTGCCATCCTGCAAAGTTAAATAATTTTCTAAGAACACAATTATTTATATAATATTCATCATGTAATAATTTTAAGTTGGAATTTCACAGAAAACAAATAAAGAATCATAAAACTATTTCACAAAATAAAATAAATATCATGTTTTTAATAAATACTTTTAAACAGTCATATTTAAAGAAAATTAGAAGGATGCCTATTTAGAAAATTTTACCTAATCATGGAATGGTTAATAAACTCCAGATATCTTTAAAATGCAGTCAATTTTAAAAAACTTATTGAGCATTTTTGGTCAAATTAACAGACCTTCTTCAGGATCGAACTAACAGAATTTAAATTTTCCACACGGAAATTCCAAAATGTACGCTCTAGGTAGAGTGTATGTTTTGGAATTTCCATTTGTTCAATCCTGAAGGTCTGTTAATTTGACCAAAAATGTTCGATAAGTTTTTTAAAATACACTGCATTTTAAAGGTATTTGGAGTTTACCTGCATTACTATAACCAGTTAATAGAGATATAATCATGGAATGCAGTTTTCATTAACTTGAAAACCAATCATAAAAGAAAGAAATTTTTTCCTTAAGATGCAGAGTGAAGTATTTTAAAATTATAAAAAATATAATTTCTAAAAATAAAAGAAATCGATGGATTATGATAATCCGCCGATGAGGCTGTAACAGTGAAATTCATTTGGAGAGTTTTTTGAGAAGTTTGAAAATAATAAAAGAAATAGCGTTGGCTGAAGTATAGTATCTTTATTAATTATTTGTCTGCTAATATAAATTACTCAAAATCGGTTTAAGAAAGAGTGTTTATTTTACTCATTTACCTCATCTAAAGATAATCTTTTATTTTTAGAAATTTCACCGATCCCATTGTTTTATATTTTTATTGATCAACAATTATATTTTAAAATTATGAAAATAGTTTGGTAAAGAATTTCAAATATGAAGGAATCAGAGCAAAATTCAAAAGATGGTGAGAAATCAGACTCTCTTGTGAGGGTTTCAGGTATAAAAGTCGTATAGAATTTTTCTTTCATCATTATTTTCCTTATTTCTCCCGTCTTCACCCGTTTGCCCGGGGATTAGATCTTGTGACCCCAGGCCTTGTACTGCATCACTTAAAAAGGTGACCTCCTAAACAGGAAAGTCGTCTTAGTCGACTATGGAAGAACTCCCCTCTCCCCAGGGGATTGCTTAATGCTAAGATATTGGCTGTGTGCAAATAATTAACCATGTTACTGTATGGAGTGACCTTGAGTGTCACCTACAAGGGTAGACCATACGGTGAGTAACTATATCACGTTACCGAGGATAGCCAGTCACCTCCCCAGGTGATGACAAATTTAATACTAATTGGTCAAGAGGTGTCTATATAACGTCGTCACCTATGACGGGGGAGACTGATAAATCTGGAGAACTGTCAAATTCAAGTAAACAACACACACTGCAAAGACAATTACATCAGCAAAGTCCCAGATTTTTCCCACGTTAATCGGGTATAAAAGGGGATCACTCCCGCACCTCCAGGCGATCGCCGGGAAGAAGCCAAGGATTGGACTCTTCAAGCCTTCGGAAACTTTGCAGCTTCTGATCGCCGCTCCAAACAAGGTAAAGACTTAGAAGCGAATTATTTTTAAGTCCCAACCTAAACCGAGAGAGAGGAAGCAAAAAATTTTCTATCTCGGTTTAGTTTAGACTTAGAAAGTTATCGGATTGAGAACCTTTGCCAGTCCCACCAACGGGAAAGACGGACATCGGCCATCTATTAATAATAATATAATATTAAAATTAAGAATAACATATTTAAAATAAAACAAATGATACAGATACATGCAAGTACATTCTAAATTCCAACAAGAAGAAAGTAATAATGATGATAATAATGAGTCATCTTTGAGTACTGCCAACACCTCATCACGACTTCACTACTCCTCCCCACTCAGTTAACAAGGCCATCCCTGATAACGAAGCCGATACGTGGGGAGAAGCTCGCCGCTCTAACCCCCTTGGTTTACAATATGGAAAATATTGCACAGGATAGATGAGTGCAAGATTCCAGACTGAACATGTTTCTATCAGACTTTAAATTTGTATAAACAACTGTTTCCACAGAATATAGAAAGTTTAACACCCTATAAATTCATGACAGAACAAACTTCAAAACAACTATTAGGTTGTTGCAAATGAAATTGCTATTTTTTAAAATTTAAAAACTTCCCAGCCTTGTAGTTCAACTTTTTTCCATGTGAATAGTGCTGTATGTTTGCAATTAGAAGAGCACACATACAATATAAATGAGATTACTTTTAAATGTGGAACTCATAACATGTGAATTTAAAAATGTACTTTTTCTGATGGCATGTAAATAAAGGAAATTGAAAAATTTTCTTTTATGGGTCAGGGACATAATGCAGCCAAAGTAATCCAAAATACCAACTAAACTTTTGGTGAAGGTTCTGTGAGAAAATTGTGTTCAGAAAATTCAGTCCTGCAATACAAATCTCAAAATATATTAATGTTGGTTGGTGGAGACAATTTTGATTGAATGTTTATTAATTTAATTTACATAGAATTTGTAAGTTTGTACAAAATTTCATATTCTTTCTCCTTTTAAATTAGGTTGCAGCAAATGAAATGGCTGATTTTTACTTCTGACTTACATACATATATATATGAAATATCAAATCCACAGAAAAAAGACTGCATCAATTGGTTAAAAACTCACTAAAAATTAGATAAAGATTTAGACTGCAAATTCTATTAAACTGACTGATTAATGTGCATTTCAGATCTTAACCAATTCAAAATATGACGGCAGAGAAGTTGAGCAAAATTGGACAGGCATCTGGAGTGAGCTTTTCCAGTGGTCTTCATACTTCACTCTCTTTCCATAGTTGACTTGAACTAAAATGACAATATTTTTATTTTGAGTTTATACTTACAAATTTAGAGAGAGGTTAGTATGTAAATTATTTGATCATGCAACCAAAACTATTGTAGATGCAAAAAATATTGCTGTCTTCATCATCTTACCTGTAAAACCTAACATAGAATGATGATTTTTATAATTAACTGCCTATGCTGCATAACTATAAAACCTCACAAGAGACATTAAACTAATGGTAAGGGGGATGGCCAACAGAGGGAGTGTAATTATAAGGGATCATTTCCTAAATAATTCAAATAATTTACCAGCACCAGACACAGGAGTACTGAGAGGAAAGAGCTAGTCCAAGGAAAATGTGGACTAGCAGTGGCACAGACGGATCGATGATATAATATATGTCCCAGAACTATCTCTTTGTCACCTAGTGCAAACTAAGACCCATCATTCCTCTTATTCCATAGTTGCAACCCTTGTGTAGAGTTATTATTCATAGGAATAATAATATACTGTATTTTAAAAAGAAACTATTTTCACACATCAGGTATATATTCAATATATTCTTAATAAACCAATTAGCTCTCTTCAGATTTACTCCTTCATACATATTGAAAATTTCAATTAACTATTATTAGTTTCTGAAAAGCTTGGTTTTATGCTTTCTTACTAATTTTTATTAGATATATATACTTACATTATCTGTCAGTGAGGGATCACAATCAGGAATTGATAAAAGCAAATGAACAACATCTCCGTGTCCATGTTCTGCTGCACACATTAAAGCAGTTGACCCGTCTTTATCTTGCATATTAATTTCGGCTCCACATTCCAACAACAACTTAACAGCTTCAACTCGTCCCTGACTAGCAGCAAGCATAAGAGCTGTCTGACCATTCTATAACAATGAAATTAAATAATGTAATTAAAATGTGTATAGAGTATTTTATATAATTTGCAGCATTCTTTAACTTTCATAATAATAATTTTTCCCACAATTTGTCATTAAAAAACAAATATTAAAAAGTACAATTTTGATCTAAATAAAACAGCAAGATATTCTTGAATGAAGTGTTTTTTGTTCATACATTGTCTTTTGTACTTTAAGTTTCTATTTTCAAGACTTCTTCCTTGAAAAAATATAACTTTGTTTTACTAAAGCAGAAATGAAATATGCCATTATAACAAGAGACTTAGTTGATTTAAATAAAGTAGCAGTCAACTAGTTTTCAAAAGCCCAACAATCATTTTCCACCTATATTTTCCTGTTTGATGTCATGTGCTTTGAAATATCTCAAATTTTAAGTTATTTATGGATAATAGCTCACCTTCTACTATCACAGAAGAAATTCCTTCCAACTGGCTAAAGTGTCAACAAAAAATATTGCTTGAGTGTTTTGTGTTGTTTGCATGAAGCAATTCGTAGAATATGACCTGATGTATATAGAGAAAACTCATGGATTTTGCTCCACAATAACACACTTGCTCACAATGTTCGCTCGTAAATTTTTGGTCAACAGTTCAACAAATATGGATCCGAAAGCTCCACATTCATCTGATATGGCACTGTGTGACTTTTTCCTGTTTCCTCAACTAAAATTTCTGCTTTATGGTCACCGTTTTGAGTCAATTGATGCCATAAACCAAAATTGACTGCAAGTCCTAAATGGGTTTCACAAAACCAACTTTAAAGCATGTTTCAAAGATTGGAAAAAAGATTGGACTAAGAGCATTGCAATTGGAATGAATTAATTTGAAGGAGACAAAATAAATTTTGATGAATTAATTCAAATCTTGCATTTTATTGAACTATTCCCAATACTTTTTGATCACAGGGGCATATTATTTTTAATATTGCCTTGCATAAATATACTAGGTATTTTCTGGGAAAACAAAACTGAGCTTCACAGTGTAGGTTATACTGTTTCAGCTTCTAATGTTGTCTAAAGCAATTTAAAACCCATAGATTTGAAGAAGGATGTGCACATGCAATGTCATAACTGATGAAAATGTCAAGAAACATTTAAAACACCTACGCATGCAGCCAGAAGCCTACTGACTTCAGCAATCGATAAAAACACACGTGTTTTCAAGAACTGATTACAACAAATGGTTATTTTTAATTTTTACAATTGACATTTAACATGCATGTCATGATGAAGAGATTGATGTAACTTGTTAACAATCATAAACTCCATCAACATATTGCTTGCAACTAGCTTACAATTGGAACTCTGACCATAGACGTTACATGTCAAATATTTCAGCCCATAGATGAAATTTCAAAATTTTGGCTTGCCAAGATATACATACAATCTGTTCAGAGATGATACATATAATGTCATCATTTCACAGTGCCACTATCATAATAAACCAATAGTCAATTGTTTTGTAACATGTTTTTTATTTCTTTAATAAAATTATTAATAATGTTGTGTAGGATATAATTGTCCCAAAATGATATCATTTACAGCCATTTTGACATTTAAATCATTTTATTTACCATTAATAAACAGTATGTTCACCTTGTTTATTAATTACTTATTAAAATAATGCCAGATAGAATTTACAAAGAGTTTTCATGCCAAACATCAGTTATTGCCATTTTAATGATTCTGCTGATGTTTGGTATCTCAGCAACATAGTCCTATAGAAAACATGTATATTGCTTTAAGATCAAGAGAATATTGGACCAGTCCATAACAAGCACACTATTTGGAAAAAATCAGTCCCAAGTTGATTTTGATTAGGAGTGGTCATATCTTGTCAAAATTGGAAAAAAATTCCCTCCAATTTTTCCGCAGATGGTATTAAATGCTTATCTAGTACTTGCTAATATCCTACAGCAGGAATATGACCAGAAATAAAAGCTAGATTTCTCATAACACTCCATTCAAATGCACACAGTGCACCTTGCTGCTGTCTTGAGTGAATTAAAACAAAAAGTTTAAAAAATAAATTATATTTACATTGAATTTTATCTTGCAATTTGTAACAAAGTAATGATAAACTTTTTCATAACTAATTTAAAAATAACATTGTTTAAAAAAAGACTGCATTTTACTATTAATTAAATTAAGATAAAAATAAAAGACATTTTATTGAATTTATTCAAAAACTCATTTATTGTCACTATGGGATTAATACTAATTTAAATGATATCCTTGCATATTTCCATAAAAATAAGAATTTTTTAATCATATTATTTTATTATTTTTACTCCTTTTTTTATATTAATTTATTTTAATTTTATATAAGGAATATTTCATTCTTTTTTCCTAATACTATGGTAATAGCTTTCAAGTTATCTGGCCAATCCATGTTGAATTCCTTCTCATCATTCCATTATAACATGTTGCTTATCAGTCCACACCAAAGGCCTCTCTTTGAAACAAATTCTATGTCTACATAAGAGCTACATTTTCTTATTTTTTAGATGATTAGATAATTCTGTGAAATGTTGATTTTGACACATTCATGGTTGAATTGCTAAGTGACCTGCAAATTACTATTTTTTATGGGAATTCAGTACAGAGGGTATTCTAATTAACCTCTTTTGTTCTATATTCTCTACTACAAGTGATGCAATTTGCCACATAATGAAAATGATTTTCCTCTTCCTATGATAAAACCTTTAATTTATCTTGTATTCCAGAACTATATTTTGTAGAAATCTAATATATACTGTCTATATTTTATACTAACCTGTGTGCTATTTTGCATATTCATTTCAATTTAACTGCTGAAGCAGAGATGCCTCTATCATATATATCCTATACAACATTTATCATAATAAATGAATTTTGACAAATTATTATATTATTATTTTATTTTATTACTGTTTTTTGATATCATAATAAATCAATCACCCCTTGACTCAATTGGTCTAACTAGCTCCCAATTTCCCATTATTTTGCCACAGTCTTTGTATTTGTATGCAAAGAGGAAAAAAAGATTGTGGCAAAATTATGGGAAATTGGGAGCTAGTTAGACCAATTGAGTCAAAGGGTAATTGATTACTCCATATTGCAGTAGTATTAAAACTGTCTGTATGGGAATCAGTTTGATAATGTGCATCTTATTATGATATTAATATCATGATATCATTTCAGACAGACTATATTTGCAAAAAATCATGTTTAGTAGTCGTGTAGTTGGTTTAAACTTACAATTGGCATCACTACATGGATTTTATATGGTAAATTTTGACCTAGAATATCTCAGCTCATAGAGCCAGAATTTTGAAATTATATCTGTCATGACATCAGCCTTCCCAAGTTGTACATATTTGCAAAAAATAATGTTTAATGGTGTGATTGCTTTAAACTTTGATCACAAATAAAACACTTTCTGATATAATTGTTATATGAAAACTTTTTGTTTCTTGTTGTAATGTATGAAGTGTTTTAAAAGTTCCATAAAACAATTTTTTTTTAATTTTATAGTTTCTGCTTCTGTTATAACTATACTAAAATTTACTGAACAACATTAAATCCTTTCAATTTATCAATGTATCATTAAATATTACTCACTTTTTTTTTTAGATGAAAACAGTAGCATTATTAAAATGATTAAAAATAATTATACACTTCTGTAACATATTGTATGTAAGTTCATGAAAACAAACAATAATTTTAAGTATAAAAACAAATACTATAAAATTAGCCTGATGTCATATGGTAGTTGTTGCTTTATTGTAATGTATTGTGTTTTGTAAAGATGTTTATATTTGCAAATACTATTTATTCATTTCCTTTATAACATTTTATTAAATCATAACCAAATAAAATATACTTACTTGTGAAGCCTTAAGATTAATATCATTGATCTGAAATAGACGTCGGACAACTTGTTTATGAGCTTCATTTCTTATTTCAGCTAAAGATATTAACATAACAGCTGTATAACCTGCCTGAAATTTCATATTGTAAATAGATAAGTATATAAATTTGAGAAAGTCTTCTTTATAATTTACAAAATTAAATGAAATGAACACATACTTTATTTTGAATATTTGCATCACACACTTTTGAATCCAAAAGAACACTAACAACATCAAAATTGCCATGTGACACAGCATAATGCATTGCAGTATTACCCTATAATAAAATAAATAACTTATTGAGTTGTCTAAATCAATATTTTATAAATAAAAAAGTATTGTAATTACATTAGCATCAGTTAAATTAACAATTCTATGTAGAAGATGTTTTGATATTTCTTCAAAAGCATCCAAATAATCTTCTACAACATGTGGATCTGAATCTTTGCAACTGGAAATTTGAAACCATTCTTTTTGGATTACTTCCATATTTGATGCCTAAAACAAATTTTCATATTAATATGACTTATAAATAAAACAAATTAAATAAGATAAAATTGTTCTTACCAATTCGGTTCCTTTTTGTGGTGAAACTAATGATTCATTTAATACTTTACAAGATTCTTTCATTTCTTTACTAAGTTCAGTTCTGTAAAACAAATTTATTATTAACTAATTATGGTTCATTTTTGTTTTAACTCTTCACATATAAAATCAAATACTTGAAATGATATAAAAAGATAGTAATTATATCAATTGATATATCTTAATTTACAAAAACAATTATAAAGGAAATGTTAAGATTTTAACGTTCATATAAAGTATTTAAAAATAATAGAACAAGTGAGATGGACTTAGAAATTTGTAAAGAAGCCATAAAATACATAAGATTGAGTGCTGAGCTAATTTTTTATTAAAAGATGTATAGTTTCATAAATGGATAACAATTTTGATTAAAAACTGGAGGTTAGTTTCACATTCATATCCCTTATGTTCCAGACCCGTGAAGTTGGCTATCTTTGAAACTATATGCCTGAAGTTTGTAAAATCTACTATCCTAGTAATTCTTTTTGTTAAATATTTATTTTTTTTAAAAACTTTTATTAAAAAATTACATTTCACATCACAAATTTGTTTTGGAATTATTTAAATATTAATAAACATATAGAAAATATTCATTATATTTATTATACTGTATATTGCAAAACTAATTTTAGTTTAATTGGCTATTGATGATGATTTTGAGATTATCTGTAACATCTATAGTTCAAAATTCAATTCCCATTTTTGATGTACTGCATCCTCTCATTATATTGCTTTTTTTTATCTTCCAAATATAAAAGCACTCTAGCCAATAACTTTTTAAAATGTCAGTTGCCATTGAATTTTTACTGACAAAGAGATTTACCTTATTCCAATCATTGACTTTGTATTTCTTACAATAGTAGTTTCAATCCAAAAAAGCAAGTTGACATGGAGATTGAAAATAGACATATTACTCATGTGATTTGTCTCTCAACATGAATAGCTCCCTTGTTATTCAATGTATTTAGATTCTGTAATTAGATTAAATCTCCAATTCTCAACAATTCTTACACACAGTTTCTGCTATATTGAAGGTCAAACATCTTTAAAGTAGTTCCTAGTGTTTTCAAACCTTCCAGCTCATCTTTACAACATTCTCAGGGACCTTAAATCCTGAGGATACCCTGCTGTGGGAAGTACCAGAGTCTTTTTAAAAATGTTCATGCTCCAATAAAGCAAAAATTATGTAAATGCTAATCAATATTCCTCTCTATTATTAAAATCAAGAGTTTGACATTGACCATGGATAAAAAAGATGCTGAGAATGCAACTGAGTATAATTAGAATTAGCAAATGATTTTATTATTTCATACATAATTTTCTTTTAAATTTATACTTTAGTAATTACTATATAAATATAGCTTTATATTACTATATTTTTGCTATGAATTTACTTACTTATTAGTAAAAATATATTAAATTTTGCAGTTAATAAAAAACAGCAAATTTTCAAAAAATTACTACAAATGTTATAGTTAGCTTACAAGTGATTGTTTAGTTTCTGCTCAGAGATGAGTCTGCAACTAAACTAACACTAGTGTGCCATGTCCAACTTTCAATACATTCTCTTTCTTCTATTGCCTTCTATTTCTACAGTTTTATTGCCTGAAAAATTGAGTATGCTATAATTTTTTAATTGCTGTAATTAAAAAGTGGCCAGTGCAAGCACTAAATAAATTTATTATGTTTTGTCAACTAAACCTCTGACAGGTAGAGCACACTAGCAATATAAGAAACAAATTTACAGAACTATGCTAAACAGTTTGTATACATTTCTTCAAAAAACAATCACATAACATTTATTTGATGCTTCTGACTTTATATAAATTTAATATAGCATATCTATATATATAAAAATGAAGGTGTGTGTGTGTGTCCTTCATGCATTACCACACCGTTTTATCCGATTGCCGTGAAACTTTGGGAAGTTGTTTAATATACTCCGGCGAAGGTTTGTGGCATAGTACGATTGCCATAAAACTTCGGAAAGTTTTTTAATACACTCCTGCGAAGTGCATTTATCCTACGATAGATGGCGCACGTTTACACAAGCATTCGAGCACAGTGTGTTCGATCGATTTCAAATTGTGAAGACCATTTCCCCCCTTCAAAAAATATCTCTATATATGCATTTGTGAACTGTTATTTATGATATATGTAATAATTTTTGTTTAATCACTTTATTTCAACTTTTTTTTTTGCTAATTATGTATTCGCTTGAACTTCGTTAAAACCTCAACTCTACCCCGAACAACAACCGAAGTTGTAGGAGGAAATTCGCGTATTTTACCGATCTAGGTATCCCCCTTTTCCAAATTTTAATATAGACTCAAAATAATAATGTAATAATAATAAGTTTTAATAAAAATTATAAAATGTAAATTGAATTTTGTCATAACGAGTTTGCTTGAATTTCCTTTCTTCTGAGATCGCAGCAATGCGCGACGGGTAAGCTAGTACTTTATATTTTTATATATCTACCTATTTTTACTGAATTTACCAATATTGCAATCCCTAAACTATTCCTGTAAAACAAGTATAATAAGTCAGTATTATTGGTTGACAAGATATTAGATTTTGAAATATGAAAAAAGAAAGAATAACTTCATAGCTTAAATCAAAAAGAGGTAGATTTTACAAATATCAAAATGATCAAGCAAATTTGTTAATACAGAACACTAATGCATTACAGATTATTTGTTGCCCCAATTATGTCCATAACAGACATTGGCCATTCATTCCTTATTCATATTGGGTAACCTCATTTTGGTTCAAATCTATCATGGATTCCAAATCTTCATAGTAATAAACTAGAATCAAAATATATAGATATCTGGCAGAATGGTATTAGAAGAAAACTTGTAATTGTGTAAGATGTAGAAATATAGGTGACCAGATATACTACTTTAAAACAATTTCATTTGATTTGTTATCTAAATATAAAGTACAAGAATTCTCTTCTGATTATTTATTTCTATAAGGCAGAGAAGTAATTTTAGAAACTGCCTAATACAAAGAAAGCATAATGTAATCATAAATGACATCTAACTTCATTAAAAAATTTTTGAGTCAATATTTATTATTTATAACAAATAAAAACAAACATTTTAATGAATGACAAATTTTCTTGAAACATTTCAAGATACTCTTTGAAACTACACTGTGTTTACCATGGAAAAATTCAATTATTGACAGATGAAATAAAATGATTTTTGATGATGTGAGAAACTAGGTTTAACTGTTAAAATAATTAACTGCCATTACAGATGATAAATATTTATAAAGTAATGATAATACATTTATTTCAAATAAAACATAAGTCAAAATGAAAAAATATATTTGAAAAGCCTCTGCAGATATCATTAAATAAATCAACTGGTCATCTTAATATATATATACTGACTATGACAATAATGTTTTAAAAAATTTACTTTTTTCTTGGCATTATTTCATAAGATTCAAACATCACTGCTTCATTTTTTTCTTGTTGAGTTAGATGTTCAGTTTTATGTCTGCTAATAATTCTACTTAAAATTCCATTATATGATTTCTCATCTGGACTTTCACTACTTGAATCACTCAAGTCTGCTTCACAAGGTGAATGTTCTGAAGTTAATCTATAAAAAAANCACACATGCTCCTCAACTTCTTCATTGCTTGTGAATCATTTTCTTCCAAGTGATTCCTTCAAGAGTGCAAACAAAAAATAGTCACAGGGGGGACAAATCTGGATTTTAAGGACAGTGTTCGAGAGTTTTCCAGCCCATTTTGACCTGACCTGTTTTTGATTTCCGGTCAACAACCTCAGAACCCATCGGGCACTAATTTTTCTGAAGCCAAGATGATCAGTGATAACAGATTGAACACTCCCATAGCTGATATCCTCTTCTGATCAGATTTCTTCAACAGTTAACCGGTGATCACGTTCAATAAGCTCTTGAACAGCACGGATGTTGTCATCTGTAAGGCTTGCCCTTGGGTGTTGATCATGAGAATGTGTCGTTTTCGACACATTCTCACCCACCCTTAAATTCTCTGGCCCATGTATACACACAATTCTGAGACAGTATACTGTCCCCAAACTGTGCCTTCAATCGACTAAAAATTTTCGAGGGTTTAACCCCCTCATTAGTTAAAAATTTTATGATGATGCATTGTGCAACAGACGAATGTACCTTTTGCTTGGTCATGATTGTACTGACAACAAAACCAAGTGCACTCATTAACCAAGCCAGTTCCCCCACTCCTCACAAACCAAACATCAACTTCATTCTACATCATCTAGTTAGGAACTGCATGGTAAGCAAAATAGCAAAATTACCATTTATATTTGATCCACCCTTGTATATATCCTCCCAGAAAAACTTTATATGGGAAACTGGCGCCTAATTTAGATGTTAGGTATACTGGGTCCATACAGGTAATTTCATTTGCGATTCCTTGACTTTCCCAACCAATTATGGCATTATTCCCTGACTTATTAAGGTCTCTGCATTTTCCATTTCNTAATAATAATAATAAAGTAATTCTTATTTTTTTGTAAAAATTAAAAAATAAATATTTTAAAGTTACTAACTCTTTTTCTGTTACATTATTATTATTTTCTTTGATTTCAATTTTTTGATTTGAAGTAATTTTTTGCACAGTTTCTGTATTAATTTTTACAAATGTTTTTGTTTTAGTTATATTGTCTTCTTTGTAAGTATGACTAAAAGCTGAATGAAGAACATTATCCATGTTTTTATCAACTAAATCTTTAGCAACCAGTTTTATTTTAGCATTACATTTATCACAAACATGAATACCAGAATCACTTGAAGAAACTGTCCTATCTAATGTTTCAACAGTATTAATTCCAATGGAATGAAAGACAGGAAACTTTTCTTCTCCAACAGCAACATCTGTAAGTTTTACATTTTGACAACGATCACATAAGACATCATATAAATTTTGATCACCGACACCTATAGTTTCCATTTGTCGTAACTCACATCTATTACAAAATGTATCATGAATGGAACAGCTTCCACAACTAGCATCAATTGTCTGAATATTATCAGTTTGTACACTTTTGTTAATAATCTTTTTCTCTTCAAAACTATGTTTCTGAAAACGACTTGGAAGAGTTTGGCTAGATTCCTGTTTAATCTCTTCAGGACTTTTAACTGGTATGTTAACTTGAATTCCAATAGGTTGAGTTTCAATATTTATAGAAGTTGCTGAATCTTTTGTATTTGAAATAGTTTGAATTCTGACATTAGCAAGTAATGGTCGGGGTACCCCAGTTCCTTTGTCTTTCATTTGTTTACGTTTCTGCTGTAGCAAGAGTAATGCATCAATATCGTTTGAAGAAAGTTCTGTTTCTATATCTACAGACTCTGAAAGTATTTTGTCAGTAATAGATCCAACAGTAAGTAATTTAGGATTATCTGTAGAAACATTAGAATGTTTTAATATAACACGATCAGTATTCACTCCAGATGACTTGAAACATGTATCGATTAATTTTGGATTAGTTCCAATGCTTTTATATTTTATTGCGGCTTTTTCTTCACATTTTGTACAAGGAAGAGGAAATGGAAGTATTGAAATTTGTTCACCTTTATTAGATGTTAATTTTAGACTTTTGGAAGTTTCAACAATGGGATCAGTTAAAACAGCTTTATCTTCAGTTTTCAATGTTTTGATTTGTTTTGATAAAATTCTTTTTTGTAAAAATTTATTACTCTCACCATCTGATTCACTTCCTGCAAATTCAGATGATGAAAGTGAGTCTAATAAAATATCACTTCTAATTGTAGATGTTCCACATTTTACACACATTTTATTAGGATTTGTAGATATTTTTTCATCACCAATACCAACAGACCTTTGTCTTTCAGCAACATGACCTACCCCAATGTCTCTTGTGAGAACAGCACAAGATGTTCCAACATTTCTAAGTTCCTTCACTGAACAAATGCTATCATTATCACTATTCACAAATTTCTCTATGCTATCATAGATTCTCTTATGAGAATGGAAATCTTTTAGATCAATAACATTATGCTTTTCTAAGGGTTCATCAAGACTATATGTTAGGTGTCCTGTGCTTGAATACATTGGAACTTCACTCCTGCCCAAAGATGTTCCTGATAAGGTTCGCTTTCTAAATCGTGGTAAGGTTGCAGCATATGATAAACTGTCATCATTTCCTTTTATGTCATTTTCTCCTTTGTTGATAGATTTTTGTTCTAAATTTTGAGATTTATTTTTTAACTGTAATAATAGTAATCGTTTTTCTTCATTTAATACAGAGAGTTTTACCTAAATAAAAAAATATGTATAGTAATCATCCATAAAAAGATTTGTAAACAAAATATATAAATTATCAACTTAATTAATAAAAATCTCAATTTTAAAATGTTTTTAACATTTTTAGGCCATTTGCTTCTAAAAACTGCTTTCAATTATTTATTGTTATTATGTCTTTGTTCAATATAAGTTATTAATGTTTCTCTGTGTGCAGAAAACTTAATAATTTTCTCATTAAAAAGTAAAGAAATAAACAAGTGATATTTTATTTAAATCTAAATACAATGGCAGATCCAGAAAAATCAACAAGAGAAGCACCATAATAAAAATATAATTATATTTAGAAGGATGCAAAATAAGAATATTTGCATGCATAACAAAAGAAGTCACAATCAGCCTTAATATACTCACAAATACTTTGTATATATATATATATATATATAT